CGAGACAATTTTAAGACTCGTCGGTTACCTCTATCATCCTCAATTATTGGTTCCTTTTCATTTTTGAATTCAGGAGCGGAAACGAATAACAAGACCATCGCTGGAGACTATGGACGAGGCAACACTGCCAAGCAACTCTGTTTTCCTTATGGTATGTTTGTCAGCGATGACATGACAATGGTTGTTGCTGACTGGGGTAATCATCGTATTGTTCAATGGAAGATAGGCGAAAAGAATGGAGAAATAATAGCTGGTGGAAATGGTCCTGGAAATCATTTAAATCAATTAAACTGTCCAACCGATGTGCTTATTGATAAAGAAACCAATAGTCTGATGATTTGTGATCGAGGTAACCGACGAGTCTTAAAATGGTCTCGTCAGCAAGGTACTACTCAAGGTGAAATAGTTCTTGAAAACATTTCTTGTTGGGGATTAGCCATGGATGATCAGAAATGTCTTTATGTCTCTGACATCGAAAAACATGAAGTAAGAAGATATAAAATAGGAGATAAGAATGGCACCGTTGTAGCTGGTAATAATGGACGAGGTGTTAGTCTCAAGCAACTCAACACACCCAGTTATATTTTTGTTGACCTACAAAAAAATGTCTATGTGTCTGATACGCTCAATCATCGTGTGGTAAAATGGAATAAAGATGCATTAGAAGGAATCATCGTCATGCATGGATTTTTTCGAGGACTTTTGGTCGATAGATTAGAGAATATTTATGTGGCAGATTATGGCAATCATCGAGTTATGCGTTGGCCTAAAGACGCGATCGAGGGTACTGTCATTGCGGATGGAAATGAAACTGAAGGAGAAGGAAAAAAATTATACCATCCTTGGAGTTTGTCATTCGGTCAAGATGGTTATCTCTACATCGCTGAGCATACGAGAGATCGAATACAACGTATTCCTATTGAATAAACTCCTTTGCATTTTGTGTTTTTAATCTTGATATGAAATAAATAATTATAGATCAAAAAGTAATGTTTGTATGTGTGTGTGTGAATATCAAAGTACAGTTCATTCACAAGCAGATTATGCCTATATCAAAAGCAAGTCGAATACGAAATCTATAAGAGTTCTGGCTTTTCGCAGCCGAATTAAAATCATTTAAAGTTCCCTGAAAACAGATACTGTTATCACTAATAAAACTAGTTTTGCATTTGACATTTTCTCGAAATTTCTTCCACGCAACAGCTAGAGAAAAACAATTAGTTTTTCAGGCAAAGTAAAAGTATTTAACAAAAACATTTGAAATATCCGAACTCTTCAAATTCGGCTTAGATGTGGATAAGAATACGATACAGACTTAGAACCTCCGCCTACATCGTCAAGATATATAAGTAATAATAAATTTAGAAGTAAGTCGAGTAGTCTTATCCTATCATGAGAAAATTCTCAAGGAAATTCAGTTCGATCATGATCCATAATTTTGTTTTGTAGATAATCTATGTATTTATATATTTTTCATTGTGTTACATTATTTCCATAAGTGTAAATCCTCATTGCTAAGAATATTTAAAGTTTCAGAGTGCAAAAGTGTATTTTTCAAATCTTTCAAAGATTCTATTATCATTATCATACTAGTTTCTTCTTATCTCGTCAATGAAATGTTTTCTTTCAAATGAAAACTATTTATTTTCAAATTGATAATCTCGTAATTTAATGGCCATCTACCAATACTTAAAGATGTCTTATGTATTGAAGAGGTTAGTTATTTTATTTTATTTTATATTGTTGAG